TTTTTTTTTTGCACTTGGTTTGTTTGGTTCAGGATTACGGAAGTCCCGTTCTTTAGATTTAAAAAAAAAAAAATACATGTATGCGTTATACTTACGTGTTTTGCTTTCTAAGCTCTTTCATAATGGAATAAAGCTGTTCAGAGGGGAGATACTTACTCTTGTTTATTTTTAGAAAAAAGTGAGTGTTTCTTACTGATTCATAAAGATTTTGGTGAGTGATGTAAAGTGCAAACACTGGAGCCTGTTGTTAAATGATTGGTTTAGTAGTATAGAAAGAATGCTACTACTGGTTTTTTACCCCCGCAGACTAATCTGTGGTCTTACATTTTGGCTCATTTTTTTTTTTAAGATTTTATTTATTTATTTATTTATTTGACAGAGAGAGAGACACAGTGAGAGAGGGAACACAAGCCGGGGGAGTTGGAGAGGGAGAAGCAGGCTTCCCGCGGAGCAGGGAGCCTGATGTGGGGCTCGATCCCAGGATCCTGGGATCATGACCTGAGCCGAAGGCAGCTTAACGACTGAGCCACCCAGGCGCCCCATATTTTGGCTCATTTTGAAGGGAAAGTGGTAGCAATGTAATTGAAAACTTATTTTCTCATATGCCAATGTCAAGTTTTTTTTTTTTTTCAAGTGCTTCATGGACTCCTTTGCTTGAATGCCTTTCAGATAATGTCTAAGAAATCCCAGGGTTTTGCATAGGTCTGCCTTTGACTGGAACTACTTGGCCTTTTTACTTTGGCATTCTTTGTGAGATGTTTTGGAGGGTAGGAGGACAGGGAAGATATTTGGGGGTGGGGAGTGAGGAGGGTAGCAGGGAAGTTCCACTACTTGTGAATTAGTTTGCTTTGACCTTCTGTATATTTAAATACAATTTCTTCAAGGATTTTTTACATGTTTGTAAAAGAAACAACATACACTGGGAAGAAAGTCTAGAAAGAGAGCCCTATTTTAGGATTAATATTCTTGTTTGTGTAAAATGAGATATTTATTTGGTTTTATTCTCTTGTATAAAGATCCCCACTTGTAAAGATTGTATATTCATCCCACCACCCCTTCCCTTTCAAGCTATGCTAAGCTGAACATGTTTCTGGCCAGGTAGAACTGGGTGAGAAATTAGCAGCTGCTTATTAGTTATCAAGGTACAGGGAATTGAGTCACTTTTCTGGTTGGAAAGAACCAAAAATACTTTATTGTTTTAATCCTTACTTCCTTATATTTAATCCTTATTTTAACTTCTCAGCCACTCAGTGTTCATTTAAAATTAGGTTTTATTTCATCTGAGTATCTGATTTTTTTTGGGTATCAAATGCTTTGTTACATCAGTGACTTTTGTTTAAAAACTGAGTTCTCAAATTTTGTTCTCATTCTGAGAAAGAGATTTTGATAAGACATTCAGCAAGTTTTCCTGTCTTTTTTCAGTTGACTGGAGAAACTCTTGATGAGATAAGGGCTAGGATTCAATATCTGTAGGTGATACAAAATATAAGGTCACAGTCAATTCTCACAGTCATCGGTTTACATAATGGGACCTTATGCGATCTTGTGTGTTCTAGTGATGTCCTACTGTTTCCGTTTACACAATATGATTGATCTCTCTCTTTTTTTTATTATTATGTTATGTTAATCACCATACATTACATCATTAGTTTTTGATGTAGTGTTCCTTGATTCATTGTTTGCGTATAACACCCAGTGCTCTATGCAGAACGTGCCCTCTTTAATACGCAATCACCAGGCTAACCCATCCTCCCACCCCCCTCCCCTCTAGAACCCTCAGTTTGTTTTTCAGAGTCCATTGTCTCTCATGGTTTGTCTCCCCCTCCGATTTCCCCCCCTTCATTCTTCCCCTCCTGCTATCGTCTTTTTTTTTTAACATGTAATGTATTAAAACAAACAAAAAAAACATATGTATTATTTGTTTCAGAGGTACAGATCTGTGATTCAACAGTCTTACACAATTCACAGCGCTCACCATAGCACATACCCTCCCCCATGTCTATCACCCAGCCACCCATCCCCCCCCCCCCCCACCACTCCAGCAACTCTCAGTTTGTTTCCTGAGATTAAGAATTCCTCATATCAGTGAGATCATATGATACATGTCTTTCTCTGATTGACTTATTTTGCTCAGCATAATACCCTCCAGTTCCATCCACGTTGTTGCAAATGGCAAGATTTCATTCCTTTTGATGGCTGCATAATATTCCATTGTATGATTGATGTTCTCTTACTGATGAGTGTAGAGAAGAAAAGGATCTAGGTTATTTCATTTTTCACAGCCTCCAGTTCTTTATTCTGGTCCCTTTTTTGTTTGTTTGATCCCTTAAGTGTGGTAGTTATATTTTTCAGATTATAAGGAAGTTGGTGTGTCACCTTAATAGGATTAATATCCCCCCCCCAAAAAAAAAAAACACAAAAGGATACAGAGGGAAGGAAGATAATTATTTCATCTCTCACCATCAACTATCATTGAGGTGGGGATGTCATTCAGGACCTAGAAGGTCTTTCAGGATTCCATAGAGTTCTAGGGTATGTTCAGCATTAGGTTATTTTTTGCTGTGGTTCTCTCTACCAGCAGTGAACCAGTATAGTGACTCCACTATTCTTTGTTTTAACTCAGATATTGTTCCTATCATTACTGGCAAATTCCCTGGTTTCTTGAGAGTTCTAGCTATTTCTCAGACAGTTGCCTAACCTTTAGATGGTTAGGAGCCTGCCTGGAAGAAGCTCTGAGTATAGCAGGTAGTCCAGAGCTTTCCAGAGAGGGAGTTGGCCAAGTGGCAAATAGTCTAGCTCAACAAAGGAATTTATTTCTCATTTGTATATACTTGAATTAGTAATAAAAAAACGCCCCTCTGTCTGCATGTATTAGATCAAAAAAGAAAAAAGATGTGTATAATCCAAGAGTTCTCTTGGTTTAGTTTGTTCCTGTACTAATACTTTAGGAAATTAGTATGTGGAGGGAGAAGAGAAGTCCTAGTTTGCCATAAATGAACAAGAAAGCAGATGATAAACTTGTTGTTAGCTTATAGTAACTTTACCTTCTGTAGTGGTGATCTCTGGGGAGCTGATGCAGCTATTTTTGATGTTGCTTGCCCACTAATTGTGCTTTATTCATCTAAGTTTCTTCCATTCTTGCATTTGATCTGTAAGGTGAGCAAAGCATTGTGTAACTGAAGAACTGAGTGTCAGTGGTTAGGGTAGAATAGCAGTTCTCAAACTTTGGTCCTACCACCCCTTTACATTCTTTACTAAGGAACCAAAAAGGTTTTTGTTTTTGTGGATTATATGGATACTTACTGTATTACAAATTAAAAGTTCTTAAAGTAGTTATTAATTTCAAAATAAAACTAGGGGCTCCTGGCTGGTTCAGTTGGTAGAGCATCCAGCTCTTGATCTTGGGGTTGTAAATTCAAGCCCCACCTTGGGCAAAGAGTTTACTTAAAATAAATTTAAAAAACTAATAGACATGTTACATATTAACATAAGTAGCATTGTTAAGTAATCGTTTATAAAAAATAATGAGAAGACTGATATTATTAAACAGTTTTGCAAACCTCCTTACTGTCTGGCTTAGTAGAAGAGAACTTGATTCTCCTTTGTGCATTCAGTGTTGTAGCAGTATCACATCATGTGACTTCTGGAAAACTCCACTATACAGTTGTGAGAAAATGAGAATGAAAAAGTCTAATAGCCTCCTAGTATTATTTTGAAAATACTTTTGATCTCTTGAATTAGTTTAGACCCCCTGAACAGGTCTTGGGGACTACTTTGAGCTGATTTAGGGATTCCTAAACTAGATTTGGGTCTTTGTGAGATAATTTCCAAGCTCTTTGTCATTAATATTTGTCTAACAGATAATAGAAATGCTTAAGAAATACTCAAGGACAACTTAAGACATCTGTGGTTGTGTTCATGCTCTTGATATTTTATCCACTTAAGATTCTCTTTTTCAGGGGTGCCTGGGTGGCTCAGTCGTTAAGCGTCTGCCTTCAGCTCAGGTCATGATCCCAGGCTCCTGGGATCGAGCCCCACATCGGGGTCCCTGCTGAGCGGGAAGCCTGCTGCTCCCTCTCCCACTCCCCCTGCTTTTGTTCCCTCTCTCACTGTCTCTGACAAATAAATAAATAAAATCTTAAAAAAAAAAAAAAGATTCTCTTTTTTAATGTAATAAGGTGAATTTATCAAGTTCTATTAAAAATCTTTTGGGATTGATTTTAATTGGGAATCCCATTAAGTTTTTAGAATATTTAGTACAGTTGTCATCATTGTGGTAT